TGATCCCGACAACTATAATCACTTTAAATCTTAGTAATCAAACAATATTATATATATTATTGGCTCAAATTCTACTTAATCTCATCATTCAATTTAACTACCGGTAATCACAAAATGAAGATTTCCGCCCATATGATTTGGGAATGGCTACGGACACTACAGCACGTAATTGAATTCCCTAATTCTGCCATATTCTAACACCGACCTTAATACTAGCCTTAACACTAGTCTTAACTACAGTGCTGGTCGTGCTGTGTCATTAAGGTTAATGCTAGTCATTATCTGTGTCGATAGCTATTTCCATCATTTTCTAAAATTTTTTAATTGCATATGATTTTTTTATTTAACTAAACGTATTTTGTTAAATAATTAAATTATTCAAATACAGAAACCATTTTTTCTCCATCCTTATGTATTGGTTTACTATTTCCCATAAACAACGCTGAAATAAACATTAACGCACTATATATTGTGAAAAGTGCAAAAGTGAATTGAAATGCTAACACATAAGCGTGAATTACCAATGGCTGTGTATCTGGTGGTAATGATTGTATAGTGTATACGGATTGTGTTGAAAAAGATGGAGGTAAAGTTAAAGTACTTAATTCTTGAGAAAGTCTATTATTAAATGCTGTTCCTGACATTGCGATTCCAAAAACACCCCCAACTAAAGAGAAAAATATAGATAATGAATTAGTAAAATCATTTAATATTTTGCTAAAAAAACTAAACTTTTCTTTTTGAATACTTACTGTTACTAAAGAAAAATGATAATGTAGTAACCGAAGCTATATCCTTCGGCTCAACCAATCTTTGGACGCATAATATAATAACTTGAAGACCTACACCCATTCCAATACCGCCAATTAACATGTATCCTATATATTCACCATATCCAGTATTTTCTCTCCATATAATGGTTAATCCGGCACCAATTATTGTCAATGCCGAAGCAATTAAAGTCACTAATCGAAACTGTATTTTGTCTGTTCGAGAGAATAGTTGACCGGTCAGAAGTAAGAAAACTACCACACCAAGAAGGTAAGGCATGAACTCTAATCCGGATTGTGTAGCTGTTTAAAAGAAACATATAGGTTGATAAATTTATTTGATGTTTAACGAAGAATATGAAATTTAGTTGATAGAAATACTTGCCTGAATCACCCTTTATAACTTGGAAGTAGAGTGGCATATAAAAAACATAACTATAGTATACCATTCCTTGGAAAAAGCTTGTGAGAAAACATGAGACTATATTAAGATTTGTAAATAAACGTGCTATTAAACAGAAAAAACAATTCTTAGCAACAATATTATAATAGATTAATTAATATAATTCTTGCAAATAAATCAAGTCATGAATACTTACATGGAGCTACGGGTTCAGTAACGATATAATGCTCAACGAGACCGAATATTATGTAACCGAGTGCGCCGACACATAAAAGTATTATAATCACGGGACTATTCCAAGGATAAGTACTGCCACCCCAATTAAGCGGTAATAAGATACAAACAGTTGATGAGATTATTAGAATGGTACCAATAATATCAACTCTTTTAATTTTATCAAGTAACGAACCGGGTGGTTTTGGTAAATGAAGAAACCTAACTACAACGATTATCGTTATTACACCTAAAGGAGGATTAATGAAAAAACACCATCTATTTTTTTTGGGAAAATAAATTTTGTGGTGTTTTACGATTGACAAAATATAAAACGATAATAATATTATTAAAATTTTTTGCTCCAAATAAGGTAACACCACCCCTTGACATGCGTACCTCCAACTGACATGATCAGTAATAGCACCACCCAAGAGTGGGCCTACAACGGAAGCAACACCATAGCATGCACTAATAGTGCCCTGGTATTTTCCTCGATCTTTAGAGCTTACAATATCTGTAATTATAATTAAGACGAGACTAAAAAAGAGAAATTAAAAATAAACAATTTAGCATGCATATAAATGATACAGCAATGAAATACGCACCCAATTATAACATCACCTCCGATACCAACGATTGCACAGAAAATTATCAATGAAACCTAAAAAAAAAAAAAAAACGTGATGAATATTTAAATTAAGAATTGAGAAAATGAAAAATAAAGGATAAGCTATATTACCATATTTGTAGCAACACCACACAACAAACTACCTACTTCAAAGATGGTAATTGCAACTAAGAATGTTGCTTTGCGACCAAAAATATCAGATAATTTTCCATAGATTGGTTGAAAGGAAGTCTGTGTCGACAACATGATTCACGTGAGTGTCATTTATATGCATGCTAAATTGTTTATTTTTAATTTCTCTTTTTTAGTCTCGTCTTAATTATAATTACAGATATTGTAAGCTCTAAAGATCGAGGAAAATACCAGGGCACTATTAGTGCATGCTATGGTGTTGCTTCCGTTGTAGGCCCACTCTTGGGTGGTGCTATTACTGATCATGTCAGTTGGAGGTACGCATGTCAAGGGGTGGTGTTACCTTATTTGGAGCAAAAAATTTTAATAATATTATTATCGTTTTATATTTTGTCAATCGTAAAACACCACAAAATTTATTTTCCCAAAAAAAATAGATGGTGTTTTTTCATTAATCCTCCTTTAGGTGTAATAACGATAATCGTTGTAGTTAGGTTTCTTCATTTACCAAAACCACCCGGTTCGTTACTTGATAAAATTAAAAGAGTTGATATTATTGGTACCATTCTAATAATCTCATCAACTGTTTGTATCTTATTACCGCTTAATTGGGGTGGCAGTACTTATCCTTGGAATAGTCCCGTGATTATAATACTTTTATGTGTCGGCGCACTCGGTTACATAATATTCGGTCTCGTTGAGCATTATATCGTTACTGAACCCGTAGCTCCATGTAAGTATTCATGACTTGATTTATTTGCAAGAATTATATTAATTAATCTATTATAATATTGTTGCTAAGAATTGTTTTTTCTGTTTAATAGCACGTTTATTTACAAATCTTAATATAGTCTCATGTTTTCTCACAAGCTTTTTCCAAGGAATGGTATACTATAGTTATGTTTTTTATATGCCACTCTACTTCCAAGTTATAAAGGGTGATTCAGGCAAGTATTTCTATCAACTAAATTTCATATTCTTCGTTAAACATCAAATAAATTTATCAACCTATATGTTTCTTTTAAACAGCTACACAATCCGGATTAGAGTTCATGCCTTACCTTCTTGGTGTGGTAGTTTTCTTACTTCTGACCGGTCAACTATTCTCTCGAACAGACAAAATACAGTTTCGATTAGTGACTTTAATTGCTTCGGCATTGACAATAATTGGTGCCGGATTAACCATTATATGGAGAGAAAATACTGGATATGGTGAATATATAGGATACATGTTAATTGGCGGTATTGGAATGGGTGTAGGTCTTCAAGTTATTATATTATGCGTCCAAAGATTGGTTGAGCCGAAGGATATAGCTTCGGTTACTACATTATCATTTTTCTTTAGTAACAGTAAGTATTCAAAAAGAAAAGTTTAGTTTTTTTAGCAAAATATTAAATGATTTTACTAATTCATTATCTATATTTTTCTCTTTAGTTGGGGGTGTTTTTGGAATCGCAATGTCAGGAACAGCATTTAATAATAGACTTTCTCAAGAATTAAGTACTTTAACTTTACCTCCATCTTTTTCAACACAATCCGTATACACTATACAATCATTACCACCAGATACACAGCCATTGGTAATTCACGCTTATGTGTTAGCATTTCAATTCACTTTTGCACTTTTCACAATATATAGTGCGTTAATGTTTATTTCAGCGTTGTTTATGGGAAATAGTAAACCAATACATAAGGATGGAGAAAAAATGGTTTCTGTATTTGAATAATTTAATTATTTAACAAAATACGTTTAGTTAAATAAAAAAATCATATGCAATTAAAAAATTTTAGAAAATGATGGAAATAGCTATCGACACAGATAATGACTAGCATTAACCTTAATGACACAGCACGACCAGCACTGTAGTTAAGACTAGTGTTAAGGCTAGTATTAAGGTCGGTGTTAGAATATGGCAGAATTAGGGAATTCAATTACGTGCTGTAGTGTCCGTAGCCATTCCCAAATCATATGGGCGGAAATCTTCATTTTGTGATTACCGGTAGTTAAATTGAATGATGAGATTAAGTAGAATTTGAGCCAATAATATATATAATATTGTTTGATTACTAAGATTTAAAGTGATTATAGTTGTCGGGATCA